CTAGGACTACAGGTGCACACCACCATGCATGGCTAATTTTCGTAATTTTTTCTAGATACAGGGTTTCACCATGTTGCCCAGGCTGGTCTTGAACTCCTGGTCTCAAGCAGTCTGTCTGCCTCGGCCTCCAAAAGTGCTGGGATTACAGGCATGAGCCACCACATCCAGCCACTTTGTCATAATTGCAATTTGTTAAACCTTAACAGCTAAACTTTGTTTCTTCTTTATGCATTCCATTCATTGATACTAATTTTTCACTGATTTAGAACAAATTGCAATAAAAACTTGGAGAGGTTCATTTATTAAAAACTGATCAATACTACTGAGAAGCTCTTAGGTTGTTTTACAAAGTAGTTCCTCGAAGCCTCAAAACATTTATAAAATCTGATTGATAACAGACAGCAAAATAAGTACTATCATACTGAAACCATACCAAAGTAAATTTTTTCAGCATCAGCTTAATCTCAAAAATTTCACAATCATAACTTAGTATGTATACAAATCACATACTAACTTTGACAATTACTCCTTTTTTTTTCTTTTTTTTTTCTGAGACAGGATCTGGTTCTGTCACCCAGGCTTAAGTGCAGTGGCACAATCTCAGCTCACTGCAACCTCTACCTCCAGGACTCAAGCAACCCTCCCACCGCAGCCTCCTGAGCAGCTAGGACCACAGCTGTGTGCCACACACTCAGCTTATCACCGCTCCTATCTTAACTGGCAAAATATCACAGCTTGTGTGGACACAATTATGAATTCTGTGTATATTTTTATTATAAATGCATTTCTGTTTCATAGATGTCTTGATTTATTAAGGACACTGGTTTTTACCCAGAAAATTGCTTTTATCAAAATTTATATGTGTACTACCACAAAATATTTTATCTTCAATTTTGAGCTTTAACTGAATTTATACTAGCATTCACAATAGTAATAATGTTTTCCTTCAACAGAATGAACTTCCAAAAGTTTTACTTTCAGTCCATTGATTAAATGAAATAAATCGAACAATTTTTTTTTCTCTGTCTCCCAAGCTGGTGTGCAGTGACGTAATCATAGGTCACTGTAACCTGGACATTTAGGTTCAGCTTCCTCCTGGTCTCAGCCTCCTGAGTAGCTAGGATTGTGGGCAGGCATCACCACACTTGGTTAATTTTTTTTTAGTTTTTATTTGTAGAGATGGGTCTCGTTATGTTACCCAGACTGGTCTTGAACTCCAGGCCTCATGCAATCCTCACATGGTGGCCTCCAAAAAGCACTGGTAAGCCACCATGTGCCCAGCCTCAAGCAATTTGTTAAATGAAATGAAACAGTTGATAATGACACCATTCAACTATGTGCAAAGTTCTTCTGCCACTGGAACCAAGTCAAAAGCTATGACTTCATTCTTTGACTCTGTGTGTGTATAAGAAAACATGGAATTAAAAATGGGCAAAATTAGTTTAGAATCTACGATGGAAAATGTTCAAAACAGTGGTTACCTCTGAAGAAGGAGTGTGGTTTGAATGGAATAGGTATGAGGAAACTTTGTAGAATAATGCTAACATTCTATATCTTAATAGAAGCCTAGGTTACACAGGTATATGCATTTGTCAACATTCAGCAAATGCACACTTAAGATTTGCATATTTCATTGTATGGTAATACTTTTATCAGGCCGGGTGCGGTGGCTCACGCCTGTAATCCCAGCACTTTGGGAGGCCGAGGCGGGCGGATCACGAGGTCAGGAGATCAAGACCATCCTGGCTA